AGTGGAGAAACGGTCCCTTAAGGCCAATAATCTTAGGCGGCGATCTTCACGGTCTGTTGTTCTACGGCGGCGTCCAGTGCCCCTTGCTCTTTGCGTACGGCCTTCTCGAAGCCATGCCTGACAACACCTAACCACAGTGTCTACACTTCTTTGCACTCTAACTGCAATTGGCCGAAAAGAAAGTCCAGCTTCCCGAAGTCCCACTATACGGCCCCTATCAAACTCTCTAAGTTGACGAAATCGTACAGGTCTCCGTACTCTAGGCATCGTAACCGATCGTAAAGGATGTCAAGAACCAAAATCCGCCAACGTTGATTCTTTACTGCGGCTGAAATATTCATTTTTAGAGCGTTAGTGAATTAAAAAAAAGCAGTATAAAAACCGGAATGTCCAACTGATAAGGCTGGACATTTTTTCACTTGTTATTTACAGTAAGATAAATATATTCACCAACTTTTATTAAAATAAAACCATTTAAACTGGGTGTTCGGATTTATATGTCACTTAGTATAGTTACATATATACATAAGTGTTCGTTTAGTAGCAATGTTTTAGCTTGCTTGGCTCGTAACCCAAAACTGACTTAAAGACTCACCTTTCAACTACAAGTATCCTTCGACCAGCTATTAAGTAATCGATTAGATATTTAGATTAAAAGGTTTTATACTTTTTATATCCAATAACGAAAATATCTTCCTTTTCAATATACATACTAAAATTATTAATGGTATTCAAAAAGGATATCGTGTTTCGGAACAATATTTAAAAATAATGTGGATTTTAATCAATTTCTGTATAGCAAACTGTATATAAATTGAATGAGCGAGGTTTGTTTGTTAATCATGATTAGAAAACCATTAATACATGATATGAATCTGACCTACACATTATTCCACAAATTTGGTATTCACTGAATTACTAAAATGTAGATATGTCATAAAATAGAAATTTATCATAATGTCTAATGGCATAGCAGGTTGATATAAGTATATTGTCATCTTAGAGGAAGGACACAATTTTATCACATAATAGATACAAGTGCTGATACTGTGCATCCGATGTTACATTCAATAAGATCGACTAACAGCATCATGACCAAAGCATAACTTTTTATAACTAGGCCTGTCCAAGCATATGCTGAGGTTGGGAAATCTCGAAACTGGAGATACTACAGACCAAAATATGTACTCACTGCTGACGGTTTTGCCTCGCATACTCGCGAGGGAGAATGGATTGATATTTAACCAATAGTGAGGCGAATGATGTTGAAGCTGGAGAATAAGAATAGACCAAGGAGTCAATAGTAGGGTAAATGCGGGAGAGTTGCCGCACATTTCAAAGAAAGGTTATATGTTTGAAATTATTTATTTTTGAACATTCGAAACTTAACACAAATAAATTTAACTCTTAAACTGTCAGTATGAATATAAATAAAACATAAAACTGATAGGATATATATAGAAAAACATTGTTTTGGTGTTTATAAAGCGGCGTCTCTCCCGACCATCTGGGTGAGATGCCGCATACCTTAAATTGAGTATTTGGTGTTTTTTTCGCGTAGTTTCTGTCTAGAACACACATTACAGACCTCTCCATACATCGTGCAACCACTTTTGACACTTTAAACATTTTAGCCAGTCCACTTTCTTCGTAGTTTGCTCGTAAGGTTCGTAACACTCCACGCACAAATATTCATTATCATCATGACCGTCGTTTTTGGCCTTTTTCATGGGCATTTCATCATCATCTGAAGTCCAAGTATTATTGCTGACTTTTGCGTTGGAAGTGGCTTTCTTGATCATTTTCACGAGGCGCTCGTCATCATCTGAACTTCAGGTGTTATTGCAGGTTTTTGCTTTGGAAGCGTCTTTTTTCACGTGCCTATTAATTTTCTTGCTGGGACCAGCTCCAGCACTGTCATCTTTTTTCCTTCCTTCCGCTTTTTTTGTTGCTCTTGCGTTGGATGTTTTATTCTTTTGTTTCAGTTTTTCAATATTTTGCGGCGAATTCAAAACAGACGCAACTTGTTTTTTCTGCCAAATAATGGAATTGGAAGCACAGGAACAGGAGACACCTCATGGAGAAGCTTTGTTGGCATAAATTCAGGTCCATCGTCTTCTACTATGTCATCTACAACTTCATCATTACCAGTCTGTTTTGATGGACCCGGATCAATTAAGTTCAACCCTACTGCAGCTTTGGGACTCACATGCCGCAGTGGCTCCACTTTCTCACGTGCATATGCAGGTGGATTAGCTGCGGAATCAGCCACAGAAAAAAAATTATCCGGGATAGCATTTGGGTCCAATGGATAAATTCCAGCATTAGCTAAACAAGCTGCTTTCATCCACGCTTTTCCAATAACTTCTCCAGCCTGGTATCTCGTGAAATTTCTGTTACTGTGGTGTTTCATCCAGAGGTGAGCTTCTTGATTAAAATAAACTTTAAATGGACGAAAGAAACTCCTGTCAAGTTGTTGGAGAGCCTGTGTACAGTGACTGGGCAAACAAAGGATAATAATGTCGTTATCATCCGCTATCTGAAGCATTTCTATATTTGTGCTGTGAGAGGTGTGACCGTCAAGAATTAACACGCACTTACCGGCTGGTTTATGTGGTATGAATTGCTTCACCAACCACTGAACGAAGAGCTCCGAATTAATGAAGGAAGACTTTCTGTTCATGTACACCTTAGATCCAGGGCGCAAGCCATCTGAAAGCTCCGGTTTTCTGTTAACCCCTTTGAAAATAAGAACTGGAGGAATAAACGTGCCATCTGCACTGCAGCAAGCAATCACTGTGACATTCTCTCCGCGTTCTTTCGACGTTAATACATGTACATCTTTGCTTCCTTTCTTGGTTACAACTTTACTAGGTTTATTTAGGAATTGTACGCCTGTTTCATCCATGTTAAATATACAAGAAGGCTTTTCCATTAGACCATTTTTTGTTAAAACTTCATCCAGCAACTCAAAGAATCTTCTAGCGTCCTTTCGATTCATTCCCTGAGCCCTTGACAACGATAGACCCTCAGCTTGCCTAACGGGCAATTCAGGATTTCTGTCCAAGATTGAATGAAGCCATGCAAAACCTGCCTTTTCTGTTGCAGCTGAAAATAATAATAATAATAATAATAATAATAATAATAATAAATCGTCTTTATTTATAAATTTACATAGTATCGGGCGAAGTTTAGCTACATAGCTACTCTTCCACTTAACCCTATTATTTTCATGGTTGTGAAGCAATGTAAATACATGTAATTAACATGTATATATACAGTGGCTAACCAAATGAAAACAAAAATATTGTAAGACATAATCTAAAAATATAAACAGATTCAGCAACACGTCAAATAAAATTTTTCTGGCGGTTACTAATCTAAACTACAAACTACTACTTAATTACTACTACGAATCATTTTTGATAGCAAATGCTGCTTGACACAAACTTTAAATTTAGTTTGAGATAAATTTTTGAATGCATCAGGTAGCACGTTATACAGTTTGACACAGTTATACCTAAAAGAGTGAATAAATAAAGCTGTACGGTGCCGTGGAATATCTAATAATTTGCCATACCTGAGCATGCGATCTCTAACAGATTGCCTGAAAACAATTTTTTTGAAGAGGTATTCGGGGGTTCCCGTGATAATCAAATTATTAATGAACTTCAAGATAAGATACTTGTAAGAGCTATTAATATCTAACCATTTTAAACTACGAATACAGTGTGAAACATGGTCATATTTTCTTAAACCGTAGATGAGGCGACAGCACGAATTTTGAATCAGTTGAAGTCTGCGAATTGAGACTTGATCTAAGTAAGGATAGAAAACTATAAGGCAGTAGTTGATTTTTGAGAGAACTAGGCTTTCACAAAGATGTTTTTTCAATTTGAATTTGATGAAATGCCTATTAACAAACAATGTTTTTAGTACAACAAAGCAGTTTTTTACTAATTTAGATATATGCTCACGAAAACGTAAATCCTTGTCAAGTAAGACACCCAAATTTTTTGCAAGATCCTCATAAACTAAAGAAGTGTCATTAATCCGTACTGTCGTGTTATTTCTGATATTAATGATTTTGTTTTTTGGTGCAAAGATAATAGCTTTAGATTTAGAGGCATTTATCGTTAAGGAGCTATGCTTGGAAAAACTAACAATAGTGGATAAGTCACAATTCAACTCGTCAACAGCTGCTACACAGTCATCTGGCTCAAAAGTTTTACATATTTGTGTATCATCCGCAAAAATCATCACTTCAGAGGAGCGTATCAGTTTACACATGTCTGATATGTAAATGGAGAACAATAGCGGTCCTAAAACAGAGCCTTGAGGGACCCCTGATATCACATTCTTATATGTCGAATATGAGTTGTCCAAATGTACCCTTTGCGTACGATTCATGAGATAACTAGTAATGAACTTGATAGATGCTTGAGAAAATCCAATATATTTGCATTTTGAGATCAAAAGTGAATGATTGATAGTGTCAAAAGCTTTGTAGAAGTCAAGCAGTACAAGAGCCGCTGCTTGACCCCTATCCAAAGCCTCAACAATATCATCAGTCACCTTAAGCAGGGCAGTGGTGGTGCTATTCCCTACTTTGAAGCCAGACTGGTTTTTTGGAATTATGTTATTCTCAGAGCAGTACTCGTTCAATTGATCATGTACTTTTTCCAATATTTTTGATAGAATCGGAAGTAAACTTATTGGGCGCAAGTCGGAATAAGCTGGGTTATTAGTTTTTGCCAAGGGAACAATTACTGCTTGCTTCCATGCAGAGGGAAAATAGTGAAGTTCCAAACAAGAATTAATCAAATGCGTTAAATATTTGCCAATCACAGGAAGACACAGTTTTATCATATTAGGCGTAATACCATCATGCCCATAGGCATTAGATTTTATTTTAAATAAATGCGAACGTATATCTTCCTCAGTGGTCATGACCAGATCAAATTTGAGCGATTCATCAAGTATGTTATTATCATAAAATTCTATTTCACTAGCACAGTGCTGAGTATTATCTTCAAAAACAGATAAAAAATAATCATTTATCTGCGTTGCGTTACGTAAACTAACAGGTATGTGGTTACGCTTCTTAGTCTGGATGTTCAAATTCCTTATACCCTTATATAAAGAAGATAAATTATTAGTTTCTTGTAAGTGCTGAAGATAACCAGCCTTTTCTCTACGCTGTGATGCAAGAGCATAATTTCTCAGTTCTGTGTATTCTGTCCAGTTCTGATTTGTCCTATTGTGTTTGTATTTTATTAAAGCTGCATCCCTCTGCTTGAAAATAGCTCTTAAGTTTTGCGTTAACCATGGAGCAAAGGGCTTGCTTACCCTCGCTGTACGCAACGGTGCATGTATATTAAACAAAAAAATTATAAGATCATTTAGAAATTCCACTTTGTCATCAGTGTCTCGAATACAAATAATATCATTCCAGTTTATACTCAGTAAATCGGCCATAAAGTTGTCATGATCAAAATTTTTGAAATCACGGTAAGTGAAAATTTTTTGTGGGGTCTGATGTTTATCAAAAGATGCTTCACAGTAAACCAACCTATGATCGGTGAAGACGTCTACATTTAGTGTACCAATATTATGACACTGTTCAGGAAAATTTACAAAAATAGGATCTAGTAATGTAATAGAAGAAGAACAAATTCTTGTAGGCTCGTCAATCAATTGTTTAAAAGAATATGAGTCGAAGCAAAGAGATATTTTGTTACTTAGATTTAGCAAATTGACATTTACATCACCCAATATGATAATATGGTCGTAAACAGTAGACAAATGCGACAAAAGTGTATCCAGAGTTTCAACTGCAGAATTGAGATTAGCCTTAGGAGGTCTGTACAACAATCCTAAGGCAACTGAGGACGACTTGAATTGAAGCTTCAACCAAAATTGTTCAATTACTGATGGGTCATCTCCAATATAATCAGTTATAGAAATATGTTCACAATTTATATCATCATTTATATACACACCTATTCCGCCACCCCTACTGTCTCTATACGTATACTTCCTATGAAATGTATAACCATCTGTAGACAAAGTATCTGAAGGAACCATCTCAGTGAGCCATGTTTCAGTGAGGGCAAATACATCCAATTTTTTTTTCTTTGATGAAGACCGACAGGTCAGTGAATGAAGGTACAAGGGAACGAATATTGACATGTCCAAATTTCACTGAGCTTACCTTAACCATAATCGATCCTACTTTTTAATTTAGAGATGTACCTTAAGTACATAGGGCAAGTCATATCCCTTGCTGAATGGTCCACTGCAATGTTTTCCTTCTTCCAATTATTATAATTAATACAGCTACTACATGATTTATTTGCAGATTTACATTCTTTTAAGCAATGATTTCCGGAACAAGAAGGGCACCTAGCAGATGCAGATCTGCACTGCTTATCAGTATGACCAAACACTGAGCACTTATAGCATCGCACAATTTGAAGAAACCTCTAAGATGAGGTCACAGCCATTCCGCATTTTTAATTTGGTGATCACTTTTATATCCGAAGAATTGAAGGTATCCAAGTTGTTTTGATAAAATAGGCTACCTATTATTTGATCGTCACTGTTTAGATCCTCTGTTATTTCAACATTCTTCCCACGAATGCTTGGTTTACGTTTTTTGGCCTCATCGACAACGTATTCGTCTCCTAACTGGGTTTGTAGAACGTTTTTGAATTTGTCCAAATTTGATTTTTTGTTGCAAATGACGGCAACTCCATTCTTTATCTTCCTTGTACTATTTACATATATAGACTTCCAAATTGGCAGGGTTTACTACTTGAGCCATTCTTTTGAAAATATCCTCAGAATTTCTTTCAGAAGATTTTACCAGCAACACAGATGAGTCATTGTTTGTATACAATGGCTTTTTTAACACTTGGCTGTACGATTCTGCTGAAGTAGTTTTTTGCAGCATTCCACTATTACTCGATGACGTTTTTGTCGCATTCAGCTCCTTTTCCTACACATCAATTTTAAATTTCTGCAACTGTGATGCATTCTCTAATTCCGTTACCAATTTTTCAAGTATGCATTTTTCGCGTTGTAGATATTCAATTTCCTTTTGTTTTAGACATTCACTTTTTAGCTTGTTTTTCTCAGCTTGTCCACCATTGTCGTCAACACAAATCGCTCCAATTCTGCGTTTTTACACATATCACAAAACCAAGCAAAATTATTAGATTTAGACAAAATTTTCAGGGCATCGTCCTTCACTGACACGCACTGACTATGGTAACTCTTTTTGCATTTTTTGCAGCACACTAACTTAGTATTCACGATGAAATTATCGGAGCAACGCTCACATACATGTACGTCATCCGCCATCTTTGGGTTTACAAATGGGTGTTTTATCCCTAGCCTTTCAGCAAAGCTAAACGTTCTAACTGTGCTTCTGGCTGGACGAAAGCCAACGACTAACAAACGATGAATGTGCGCAACTAGTCTTGTTTCATTGGCCCTACCCAAAATTCCTAAAACAAACAAATGCTCATGATTTATCACAAAATTATTTTCAAAGAAATACCTTCTGGGCCAAGGGCACCTTTCTTGAAATTGCCAGATATTATTCTCCTTTTTGGGGTACGAGGGGGTACATTATAGCGCCTGTGTGCCTCCTTTTTAGATATTTCTCCTGTCTGTACTTTTGCTACAGCCTCCATTAGTTGCTCATCCGACCAGGTGGCCCTTGGTCGAGCAGTATTTGATCGTATGTACTTACGAGGCATGATCTATAGACAAAAATATAAAAAAAAATTATTGTTACACTTTTCCCAAATCAAAGCTTTTTTCATTTTTTTCAATTATTATTATAACATGTTCATCATTAAAAGCGTCAGAAGTGCAAAAGTCATGTGATAACGAATGCGGCTTCTCTCCCGATAACGAAAGCGGGGATAGACGCCGCACCTGCCGTCTGTTAGAAGTGTTAACGAAATTAACCTAACTTTTACACAGCAACCTCCATACTGAGCTACAGTCCTAACAAAACCCATAACGGCACAAGATACTACGCGTAAGATTTGTAATATACCTAAACCAAATCATGCTTAAAATATTTACCACCTATTGCGTACTTACGGTTCTTAAAATCCCAGATATTTTGTCGACTATCGCTTCGATGGCACAAATCACAAACTACCGGTCACTTTGCAGTATTCATCTACCACATATTGCGGCAACAGCTCCATCTCTCGAGCCTATGGGAAATTACAACCACCGCGGCGTTTCTCCTGCCGCGGCATCTCTCCGGCATTTACCCTAGGTTGTAATTTTGCTCGGTCGTACATGTACATTGGTATAAACGTGTGTACGATTGAGAATATATACAGGGTGACTTTGAAGTTGAGTCATTAATTTTCAGATAATGATTGTAGAAGGAAGATAAACCAGAATATGTGTGTAAAAATTAAAAAAAAGTAAAAAAAAAATTTTACCTTGTTTTAAAAAGTATCCTCCCGACAAGTATTTCAGTGCGGACCTGTATTTGATCGTGAGGTCCCCTGTGAGGTCTTAAGTCACCTGATTCACGAGCCCGTTGTACTACATTAACAAAGGCACGAGGGGTTGGTTGCACTCGATTGGGAAACCGATCCGCATAAACATGTGCCATTTTTTATTTCGTTTGAGCCACGCAACAGACACTATTAACACGCTAACCGACAGACACTGACTGTATGTATAACTGAACTGAATAAAATACTTCATTGCAAAAACATCGTTCCAAATTCTTTCGCTTTTTTGTTTCCGATGCGATGAACCGGTAAGGCGGATTATATCCGTTGTTGCCAAACACGAGTACATGATATTATTATTGAGACAGGGCGGTACTCAAACTTCCAAAGGGCTATAACTTTGTTACTTTAATTTTACCAGAAAAATGGTAAAGGAAAAAAACATTTCTTTTGATCAGATCTACTCACTGTTAAAATGACTCAACTTCGAAGTCACCCTGTATGTCTAATAGCTTCGTATATGTGGCTAACGACTTAGGGCCTCAGTAAGAATGCCATTTCTGAAGAATCTGACCTTCGGGCAGGAAGGACCGACCGGGAAATACTGTCAAGCTCCCCCCTAGAGGCCTAAGTTTGACATTTTTTTTTCAAGAAAATGCTTTAATACAAGTATTTCTGTATCTTACTGTAAAAATTACCTGAATCGCAGACGTGCTCATTTGAATACCAATTATTTTCCGTTCATTTGTTAAGCAAACGGGAAATGTGGCGACTGTCAGCTTCTGTCGCAGGATGCAGAAATAAATTCAGTAATCTCAGTCTGATTATACACTGATTATCACAAATGGGAAATAACACTTGCGGGTCTGGTTACATTTACCTTCAGGTTGGTTAGCTAAAAAGCTTCAACTTTATTGTACTATGCAAGATAGGGTATGAAACTAATTTTAGAAACATAAAACTGGACAGCTGTTGGATTCATCGCTAGTTAATAAGTAGGATTACGACGATTCAAATAAAATGATCTTGATTGATTTTTTCTATTTTGATCGTGATTTAAATCAAATTGCAAATTGCTGTGTAAAACAAGTCACCGGAGCAAATAGCTGAAATAGCTCATCGGGAAATTTAAAAAAGGTTGGTAGCTTATTTAAAACCAATACATACATTATGGAAGTTCAGAACCATAGCTAATCCTCATAGATGAATAAATAATAACCAATTTAACTAAATTACTAACGAATACTTAAATGATATTATAATATGTACAGCGAACAACTCATACCTATAAAGAAATAAGCACAATGACTAATTTATCTTTTTGAACGGCATCTACATTTTGTTGGGATTTCCACCAATTTTAAGCTTTTGTAGTTTTGAGAATTTCTCCATCAAGCATTATATCGGTAAAAGGATCTGCTTTTGCCAGGAACTGAATTACACTGATAAACACAGGATTTGTGACATGGCAAGTTTTGGGTGTATTTTAAGTATTTTGAGACCCTTAAATCAAATCTAAAAACACTCACAGATATTCGGTAACACCTACGTTTATGAGTTACAATACGTAAACACCTCATATTGCTGCATTTCTCGGCGTTTATGCGATGACGCACAAATATAATGTTAAGACCTATCTATTCCTGTTTATTACATGCGACTTCTATGTTTAGAGAGCATATTTCGTTTATTAGTAGACTAATAGCAGCCAAGTTAGTTTTCTGTGTTGATGAGTACTGAGATGTTCTGTGTACTATTAATTTTTTATTAAAACGGTGTGTTGTTTTTAGTTTATTGTGATCGAGACTAGCTTTATGGAAAATACCTAGAAATTTAGTAAACAGTGCGAACAGCTTTTGTTATGTGTGCGGAGAGCTAACTTTTAAATCCCAAAAACGTACTTTCACTGCCCTTGTGTTGAAAGCATACGAACTTTATTTTGGAATTAAAGTTGGCGACCAAGATAAACTATGGCTCCTCATATATGTTGTAAGACTTGTGTAACATTGTTAGCAGGTTGGTTAAGAGGCAAAAATCATTAAATGTCCTTTGCGGTACCAATGGTTTGGAGAGAACCGAGAGACCATACTACTGATTGCTATTTTTGCCTCACAAATATTAAAGGCATTGGGCCAAAATCGAAACATACTGTTGAGTATTTTAATTTACCAACAGCGCCGCATTTGATCACACAGGGCGAACTTAATGACTTAGTTCGAGAATTAAATCTGTCAAAATCCCAGTCAGAACCTTTAGTGTCAAGATTAAAAGGATGGAATCTCCTCCACGGTGATGTTGACATTACGTTTTATCGAAAACGGCAACAAGACCTGTTTCCGTCAAGAAAGGGAGTTGATATATTGCTCCGATGTCAACAATTTGTTTGACGCGCTAGGACAGAAACATGATCCAAATCATTTGCGCCTGTTCATTGATTCCTCTAAGCTTAGTTTAAAAGCGATATTGGTACACAACGGTAATAAATATCCATCTGTAACTATAACGCACGCAGCTCATATGAAGGAATCATATGGAAATATGCGAGTTCTGTTAGAGCATATCCGTTATAATGAATATGGATGGGCCATATGTGCAGACTTAAATGTAATAGTCCTCCTTCTTGGATTGAAACTGGGGTATACCAAATATTGTTGTTTTCTTTGTGAATGGGACAGTCGTACCTGAGATCGTCATTACGAAGAGAAGGAGTGGCCACTACGTAAGGTATTAACTCCGTACCTCAAAAACATTGCTAATGAACCACTAGTTGATCCCAAAGACGTGTTGCTTTCATCTTTGCATATTAAGTTGGGACTGATGAAAAATTTTGTGAAAGCTATTGATCGAAATGGAAGAGGCTTTCTACATTTAAAACAAACATTTCAGAGACTTAGTGAGGCAAAAATTAGAGAGGGCATATTTGTGGGCCCACAAATACGGAAAATCATGAAGAATGATGTATTTGACACTGCTCTAAATGAAACTGAATTACGAGCTTGGAATGATTTTAAATCAGCTACTGCAAATTTTTTAGGCAATGTGAAGGCGGACAAGTATAAAGATATTGTGAATGAACTAATTAAAACTTATAAAGGAATGGGATGTAACATGTCTCTAAAAATTCGCTTTTTGATTCTCATCTCGATTTTTTTTCCGGAAAATTTAGATGCGGTAAGACATTTCTGCTATGGTAAAAAATGGGCAAATGGAGTGCCAATTTGCTTGCTGATTATTGCTGGACATTGTTAAGAGATACTTCAGGAGCAACATATCGCATTAAAACATCGACAATAACATTCTGAGATTAATGTTTATTCGAGTGTTTATTAGTACTTTACACGCATATCCTTTTATTTTACGAGTATAAGCAGCAAATAAAATGCCTTATTGCAAAAAAACCGTGGGTAATAGAAAAAATCGAATGCTATTTCCGGATTTTTGGGTACTTTTTACATAATAATCACCTTGTCTTGTCTATGTCACAAAAATTTATTTTAATTTTGCTCACCAGTATTATTAGTGGTCAGAATCTATTGGGAAGTAGTTATTTTGCGGCTTTCAAGAGAGAATTCTTTCCGTCGGCTGCTAATAGATGTTGTGGTTGTGTCGGATCAAGACAGTATGGTAACAGATGATACGGATTGATGCATTGTTCGTATCGACTTTACATTTTTGTATTTCACTTAAAGTAAAATCTGTCTCGTCAAACACTGATTTGTGATTTTTGAAGTCTTATATGACATACCAAAGTTCCATCAGGTCTTTGCAGCCTATGAATGGCAACAGAAATAGGCTTCAGAGTCGCTAAATAGTCTCTAGCAGACCTTTCCAAATAGTTTTTTGAAATTTTTTCTCTCACTACGGCATCGATTTCAGTTTTATGCTCCTCGATAATTTTCAAAGTTTTGTCCACGATTTAGTGAATGCTGCTAAGCAGTCAGCCAGTGAATTCCACCTCACGTCATTAGGTAGAACATTTTTCTCCCTATGTTTCGTATGTCGCAGAAGCAAAGTGATTATTTCGGAAACATTGTACGACAATCACAACATGCACCTTGATATCCCAAACCTCCAACTCTTTACAAAGTAAATTTAAAATATAAGCAGCGCAACAATCTGTAATAACGTTAATTTCAGCGGATTCTTTTTTATTTCTCGTTGCATTCGTATTGGCTGAATTATCGGTAACAGTCTACACTACACTACACAGTTGTGATCCGTCTTCAGTGGTCTTATCAAATTTTTGGCAAGGTCTGTCAAATTCACGTATGTAGAAGGCTTTCCAGACCTGTCTATGGTGTCTTTTAAAAAAAGATTTTTCATCTTCTGAAGTTACTGTATCACAGATTATTGGTTCGTTATGCACATTATATGAATCTAGTCAACAAAAAGTTTTGGGCGAATGGAAAAAATAATGAATATGAGTTTATTATTGCCATATTTAAGGAAAAAAATCAGAACACAGAAATCAAAAGTATCATGAGATAATCGAAAAATGAAATATATTTTTAGTATATTCCATAAAATCGTGAATTTTTGCAACACTGATTAATAGGGTAGAGCACAGTCGAGGAGTACTGGACTAAGTTTAGCGTAAGTGCTATTTTGTCGTTGTATGAAGCCAAACTATCAGTTTCGACTTTGAGTGCTAGACTGTTACCAATAAAGCGCAGCCATTGCAGAAATACAAATTAACACATTGACCGCTGTGTCGGTAACCGGTGACTGATACTGAA